AAAGAGGAGCCTGAAACTGTGCCACAACCCTCCTCCCCCTTCCCCCGGAGAGAAACAAACCGGGGAGCTCGACCGAGAAAAGGATGGTTTTACAAACAGCCAGCCAGGGGGAGAGCGGGAAGCCTTGGGGCGGGCAGCAGAGAGCGAGCGAGCCCGCGTGTACCCAGGCATCAAACGTTGCAGCGTCGTAAGGAAACCTAGCAGGATTGAGGGGGGGGGGGGGGGAATTGCATTCTGACTTGGTCCCCAAGGAAGCCATCCCGCTTGAAGTTCAAGTAGTGTTGTCCCATGGCAGGAACCATTAGTTTTAGAGATGCACAATAGCTACAGTCTGTGTGTGCTGCTTTTGTACCTTGTCCATCCCTTCAGGTAGCGTTTATCCAAACCGATCGCTGTAGAAAGCGGTCTCTGAGAAAGTCATTCTTCTAGGTCTCTGCAGGTAAAACTAGTTATTCCGAGTAGTTTATGGTAGGGTAAAGTGTTTAAAAAAAACAGTATTCACAACAGTATTGTCTGATTCAAACAGAATGTTAATACATAGCTGAAAACTTTAACAAAGATATTTAGTAAATGTTTCTGTTTTCTATATTGTGCTATTTTCAAAATCCCTATTCACGAATGAAAACTAACCTTCAGAAAGCCTACATTACAAATTTCCTCCGAAAGTATGCCTACTCACACAATTCCTGTTTTAATTATTTACTTGCACTTTATCGTCAGTATTATAGGTAATCTTAAATATTTCCAGACTGCATTCCCTAGACAAGCTGAATACAATGAGTAAATATGAGACGAATTAGATGTAGAATTTGTTTCTAAACAAACATAACATCTACAGGTTCCAACAAAATACATTGATTTTACTATAGTACAGTTGAGATTATGAAACACCAATTTTCCATTGTCTGTGGCTTTAAATTGGGTTTATTGTGTTAATGGCTAATTTGCATGAGGCTTGTACTAGTTCACAATTTTTTTCATATTGCTGTAAAAGGATTGGCATGCTGTGTTAAACGGTCAGTATATGCATGCACACAAGTTAATTTCATTTCTATTTTGTCTAGTGTGAAAAGATATTTTGCATCGCTAATAAAGTGCAAATCTTATGAAAAGCTTTTATTTGAGTGACAGCACTATTTGAGCAGACGAATTCAGAATAACTGAACTTTTCACAGTGAGAAAGGGAAACGATTATAAATAGGTGTGGTATACTTCAGGCAAATTTCGAACTCTCTTCTACTTCTGCAAGTGATTGCAAAGCAAGATACTTCCAGTGCTTGGTCTTGTGCACCTGGTTAAAGATTACTTACCGCTCGTTTAGCATAGTTTAAAGTATCTCTCTGTTTTTGTATGTGTGGGTATACAAACTACAAACTTGGGTGTATACCAACACAAACATACATACATATTTATAAAATAGCATATGTAATGAGATTTATGTTCGTAATGTTCTAAAACTTCACTTTGACTCTCAAACTTTTTATCTAAATGCACACTGCTGTTTTACTAAACGCAATAAGGATTTTAATTTCAGTAAATCTTTGCACTAATCATTTCCAAGCCTATCTGCAAAAAATCAGTGTCGCTTTTCGAGCATCTCCTTTGCTTGACTTTTAAAAACAGCTTCCTAGATGCTAAAGAACAGAGAACCAGAAGTGAGTATACTGAAAGTTTAAATGGAAATTATCCAACTTCTGCTACATGTATCTAAGAATATCTGAAAGGGAGATCCGCAGCTCTTTTTCAGGCAGACGATTACGAAATGAATGCAGTAACAATGCATGGTTTTTATCCCTTACAATCACATAAGAAATAATACTACTCACCTAAATGTGCTTC